ACAGTCCTGATGGCGTCGATAGTCTGGTGGCACGAAACTTATTTCTTTTTTTGCTGCCAAGTGTCCTGCGAAAGCCGGCTGTATTCCGGTGTATCGATTGCGTGGGGGCTGGACGGGCAACAAGTGACAGTCCAAAGTGTCTCCGGCAGGAGCCATGCGATGCGATGCGTTGCGCTGTTATGCCGCAGGCATAAGCTCCTGCCATTTCCATCGCCAGGCTCATCATCATCAGGGTTTCCAACAATTTACAAACTACTGACTCATCGTCAGAGCCTCATCCTCAGTCTCATCCTCATTGCTGATGGCCAGTGCAATGTGCAAAAAGTGTTTCTCATTAAAAAGTTGTTTCACAATTTTATTATCCTGTCGTTGTCGGTGATGTTGTCGTTTCTGTGAAGCTACTCCATGTACTCCGCCAGCTACTCCTCCGTCAGGTGCGCGCTCTCATTGTCACGAGCCGGGGTGACAATGTCAATAAAGCAAACTTCGCCCCAAGGCAGCCACTCCATGGTGAGACGGAGACACCGTCCTGTACCCCCATCCTCATGCAGGCAGCCATCAGAGCAGCATCAAATTATTTTTAAATTACTTGCAAAAATGGCAGCGCAAGGAAACACGCAAAAAGTTATAATCGTAAAAAGTAGAACAAAAACAAAATAATGAGCAGAAACAAAACAAAAACCGTTTACGATGCCCTTGGGGCGGATGGGCAAGGGGAAAGTGAGTGAGTGTGAGTGTGAGTGTGAGTGTGGCTGGAGCCAGGGACTAGTTTTTTGAGTAAACAATTTTCCCAGAAATTAAGTTTACCAAAAACTCCAACTCCCGAGTCCCGACTAAGCCGTGTGTGTGTGTGTGTGTGTGTCCGTGCGGTTCATGCATATTTGATCGTTTCATTAGCAAAATCCCCAACAAGGAATTAGGCTGTTGCCTGTCGGACAGGGTGCACAGGCTCACAGGACTATCGCTGCGGCGTGAGTTGTGCCAAGCCGATTGGTGACCCCGAACTATTTGCATTATTCATCGACTGGAGACCCCGTTCGCTTGAACTGCAGCTAGATACAACAAATAAACTCGAGAGCTCACTTGTTTCCTGATAACAATGTCCAACTTGAATGGGGGGTTTGGGGTGGTGTGGTGTGGTGTGGTGTGGTGTGGGGATCTCGATCGGATTGGATTGGACTGCACTAATTACTGGTAATTGAGAGTTCTGGTGAAGGCAGTAAGCGTTGTTTTTGGCCATGCTCGCTGGCTGATAATACACATTGCTAGCTGCTGGTTGAGCATTGGTAGTTATCGCCCCATTTGCGTGATTAGATTGCTGCCTACCACGCGCGCCTATCTCTCTCTCTCTCTCTCTAACTCTCTCTGAGTGCTGGTCGGTCGGTCGGGGTGCCGTGGTCGTCTCTGTAGGCAGGTGTCAGTATGCTCTAGAGCATAATGTCAACAAGAGGTGGATTTGTTCGACTCACGCTGCTCGTGTCGGCGGCCGTGTTCGCCCTGCTGCTGCTCCTCAACGCGCTGCATCGATCGGACCAGCTGGTACCGACCCGGGGCGCCGCCGCTGCCCAGAAGGCCACACCGCCGCCAGTGCAGTCTGTGGTGGAGCCCATCGATGAGGCGCTCGTGCGCCAGCTGGAGCAGGAGCTGCCCGAGGTCGACTACGGCCTGTGGTATCGCCTCGCCAAGCCGCTGGCCTACAAGGTCAACTCCAGCTGTGCCGCCTATCCGGATCCCCTGGACCTGCACCTGCACAACATCTACTGGCAGACGTTCCTCAATGCCAACGTGACCTTCCAGCTGTATGCCGCCTACCTGGACCAGCGGACGGCCGTGAAGCACCGCACGGTGCGCATACTGGCCACGGCCAACCAAATCGGAGACGCCTTCCCGGCCACCCACTGCCAGCTGTGGTACGAGGGCTACCGGGAGCCCATCTTCGTGAAGGTCAACGAGTTCCTCAGCGTCTGGGTGAAGAACTGGGGCTACCAGCCGCAGCTTAGCTATCCCCACCTGCTCGGGTGTCCAGTGCCGGAGGATTTGCCCCCGAATATCTACGACTCGCTGCCCCGCACCGTGTCCCTGGTGGTCGAGCGCTGCCACAAGGCCACCAACTCCCTGCGGGTGCACTTTGAGCTGCCCAAGCAGCGACCCAGCAGCACCATTTATACCACTAACGGGAATGGAAGCCACACACAAGCCAATGCCACGGCTCCGCTGAGCTTTGGGGTGTGCCTGAAGGGCTTTGACTTCCCCTACGTGGACCTGTCGGAGCGGCTGATCGAGTGGTTCGAGCTGCAGCGACTGCTGGGCGCCACACGGGTCTATGCCTACATGTACGACGTGCATCCGTCGGTGCAGCGGGTGCTGGACTACTACCAGCGGACGGGCTACCTCGAGCTGCGACCGCTGACGCTGGCCAACGGCATGCCCCGGCTGCGCCACTACCAGCACATGCTGCTGCAGCAGCGGCGGCTGGTGAAGCGGCTGAACGAGCTGATACCCTACAACGACTGCTTCTACCGCAACATGTATCGGCACGACTATCTGCTCAATGTGGACGTGGACGAGGTGATCATGCCGCTCGGCGAGCAGCGCACGTGGCAGGATGTGGTCGAGCGCGCCCACCAGCTGGAGCTGGCCCAGGGTGGCAAGTGCGCGGGACGCTTCACCTCGCTGTGCATCATCAATGCGTACTTCACGCGTGTGGTGCCCGAGGCACAGAATCACGAGGAGCAGGAGGCCGGCGAGCTGTACGTGCTGCAGCACACGCTGCGGCATCGCAATCACTCGCTGCCCGGACGTGCCACCAAGTGTTTCCACAACACCCGCTACTCCCTGACGCTGCACAACCACTTCACGCTCAAGTGGCTCACGGGCGCCTGCAATCCGCGCACCGTCAACACCACAGTGGCCCAGATGCAGCACTACCGCGAGCCCGATAAGAAATACGAGCTCGCCGATCTCGTTGAGGATCGCAGCGCCTGGCGGTATGCCGAGGCGTTGCGTGCAGCCGTCGAGCAGGTGTGGCTGCATCTGGACGATGTCCAGGGCCAGACCAGCGATGCCGAGGAGCAGTCAGCGCTGGAAGAGGCTCTGGTCGAGGAGCAGGAAACGGACCTCGAGCAGCAGCAGCAGCAGCAAATGATGCTCCATCCCCCAGTGCCCGTAGCCAGGAAGTAGTTTTAGCCCTAAAGTTTATCTCTTTTTTTTTTATTCTATGTAGTTTTAGCTCCTATTCAACATTTATACTCAGCAGCTCAGACGTCTGAAGCCGCACGCCAATTACAATTGAAATTCAAAATGATTCGCCCCACAAGAACGTGAAAGAATGCACTCACATGGGGCTCTGGTGCGGTCCGGTCTGGCTGGGGCTGGTTGTTCCAGAGAAACCCACCAACATCCATCACACTCGAGACTCGACACTAGACACTCGCAAGTCTGTGTGTGGCTGTTTCTTTTTTTTGAGGCGATAAGCGATTGATTACTTCAATGTTTTGGAGAATTCCGGCTCGAAGTACTTTAATTAGAAGCTGCCAAAGGCCATAATCTTATCGATTCGAGCCACGAGATCTGCGTCACTCCCAACTCCCACTCTCCATGGAGAATCTCTTGACTACAAATGGAGCACAAACATGGCACTAGTAAGGGTTTTTCCATCGTTTTGGAAGCGGAACTATCGAGTGCAATCATTGAATTCCCATTTTAGTGTCGCTTTCTTTATCTAAATGGCGTATTGATTGATTGGTGAGATTGGTGATTAGCTGTGCGCAATAGAGGATTTTATCTGCACAAAAACTGGCAGCATTCCATGGATGTTTGCTTGATTGATTCATTCATTGCCATTTAATATTATATATTTAGCCTCCCATTTCATGTGGCCAACACTCAATGCTCGAGTGCGCTGTAATCTTTGTTTAATTTACGATTAGCATTTACAATTTGGACAGCCAGCAGGTAACAGTCATTTAACCATAAAAAGCGGACAATTCCACGAAAAACAAAGCAATGACACTGACTCACAATTACCGGCCACAAAGAGTAATTCGGGAAATAATACTTTAACCTTCGCACAGGCACATCTCTGCCGCTACCCCAACTAAAAAAATCAGACAACTCTTTTCTGCAGGAACGATTAGAGCTCATACCTGGCCACAGGTTTCTCCTCTAATCACTGACGGATAAGCCCGCTCATTAGCACGGTATTATGTGATAAGCGACTCATTTACGAGTATGCTGTGTCGCAAACACGAAGCCTTATCACCTGATAACTGCCCATTCGCTGTCCAGCGGAAAAGCGAAGACAGACACCCACACACACACACACACACACCGCGACACAGTGCCGAAGCTCGCTCCGTGCGACAGGCCAGCCCGTGAGTATGCCTCGATCCATGGGAAAAGCTTTCAGCTGGGAACAAACTCAAGATAAGCTGGAAGGCAAGGCACGCTATCGATCAACGAAGTTTAGGCTCGTGGGATTCAAAGCTGTGCAGAGGTGTCTTAGCGGATAAGTCAGCTAACAAGAGGGTGACCGCCCGTGGGATACAAATATGTACATACATAATACATACATATGTACAAATGGGAAGTGCCACTTGAATGCACTTTTTTGTTACGTTTTAATTGAAGCTTTGGCAAAACATAATACAAGATTGTTCGATGATTTGAAATTGTAGAACATTTAAGGAACTTTCATGGAACTTTGAACTGCGCGCTGAGCTAAATAAAATGCCTCAAAATACGCTTTAGAAAAGAGTTCCATAGGGATATGGGTTTCATGTGTCTACATTTGACTAGCATAAGTTTGTCTGGGGCTGCCACAGCCACACTTTTCTTTCGCTGCAAAATTGCGACACTTAAAGAGTCTTCAGCTGCCAGCAAAGGAATTAGTTGCAGAAATGAGTCATTTCAGATGGGGGGAATGATTCGATAAGAGTTTTTCTTTGACCCCGCAACAGCCTTGGAAAACTCTCCATCGATTGCCATCGGGTGCGCCTTTGTTTCTTTTCAGTAATCTCTCCTTTATTATGAGCAATTCCTTAGGAGACATTCAATTATGTGGTACAAAATAAACAAAAAAAAAAGAAGTACAAAGTAATACATAATGAAATAGTAGCACATTGTCGTATGCATGGGAACATGGGAACCATTATCGGGCCACCCGTTATCGCTATCGCAATCGTTATCGCATCGCTGACTGATCAAACAACAGCAAAAAGGAACAACCATTAGGGCGGGGCTGACGTTGAAGTTTGCCGGAATACCATAAAAGATTTCTTTATCGCGGTGGCTGAATGTTGCGGGAGCAGCGTGGAGAATCGGTTGCTCCTCAGTGCCGGAGCAGAAGGGCGGTGAAGCCTAGGAGCAGGGAGCCCAGCAGCGTGGTGCTTTTGGTGGAGGAGGAAAGCAGGTCGCCGGCACCGCCGCCAGTGCTGTTGTTGCGGGCGGCCAGGAAGACGGGACGCTCGTTGGCGCGTGCCTCCATGTACGCCTGGCAGTCGGTCTCGTTCTTCACGAAGCGGAAGATGGACTGGACAACGTTGGCGGGTGTGATCTCAGAGCACTGCTCCAGGTGGTGCAGCACACAGGCCTCGAAGCCCTGCAGATCGACGCAGTGGGTGGGCGAGAAGAGCAGCTCGGGGCGGCTCATGAGGTCGGCCACCTGACCGTCCTTGGGTATGTACTGATGGAAGGAGCGGTTCAGGCAGTTGCTGATGGCATCCTTGTTGGCCTCCAGGCACTCCGGACCCTGTTCGGCCACAAAGAGTGCAATCTGATCGCCGCCCCGCGAGCAGGCAAAGCCCAGCAGGGAGGCTCCAATGCGCGCTATCGTCTCCTGCTGGCGCTTCTCCTCGCTGGTGAGGCACACCTGCATCTTCGTGTTGAACTCCTTGACGCACGCCTCCGCCTCGGGGGCACGCTGGCAGTACTTGTGGAAGACGGTGTCCAGCTCGCCCAGCGGTTTCGCCTCCTCCATCTCGGCCTGCAGGGCCGTCAGATTGGCCACGCCGCTGATGCAGGCGCTCATCTTGGCCGCCGCCTTCTCAATCTCCTGGTAGAAGGTCGCATTGTCCGCTCCCGTCACCTTCTTGCACTTCTCGCGGTACATCCGCTTAATGTCCTCTGTGAACAGCAACAAAAGTTTCTTATTCGCCACAACATTCGCTTGCTCCTCGTCTGTCTGGCAACTCACCCACGCTGACATTTGTGTTGCGATATTCCGGGGGCAGGAACTGGGCCGAGAGTCCGCCCAGCTGGCTGGGACTCAGCGGAGGAGTGGCCACAGCGGGGCTGGGACTGGCCTGCACCTCGAGCAGGATGGCACCCAGGGCGGCCAACAGGCAGACGGCCAACATTGCGAATTGGTTCATGCTGGCAGTGGATGATGTTGGGTTCTCAGTTCCGAGTTCTTCTGGCTTCGAGATTGGAGCCCGTCTGTGCCCGTTTCGAGTGCGCTTCGGCGAGTGAATGAATATCCGACTTGTCGCCACGAAACGAAGCCCCACAGCGCAACTCTCTGACGATCGGTGGAGCACAGTGGTTTGAGGGCATTCGAAATGTAGATTGTGCAAGTGCAGCGCAAAGAGATGTGGAAACTATTTGAAATAATTAAATGCAGGCAAAGGTGTGTAGAATAGAATGCAACGAAAATAAAACCCCATCAACAATGTACGATTATAACTGAAATCCTTTATTTTTGCAGCACTTTTCTGCATAGTGGCAACCACTGTGCCCGATCGCGGCTCGGGCTTTGTTCAATCAGCCAGCCCGACAGTGACATCATTTACACTTCGGGGGCACGGAACAGATTTCGCCATTGCCACCAACGTTTGTGTGTGCGTGCGGCAAAGTACAAAGTTTCCCATGCATCCGCTTTTGTCGCGTACTTCTGGATGTGAATGATTCACGCTGGCATGTCCAGCCGTAAGCGTAGGGATAGACAGCACAGGAGTAAAGGGTGCACAGTGTATCCCTGTGTCACGGCTATAGTTAGATTCCGCATTATGCATTCGAAATTCGCCTTAAGCCGTGTGTGTTTGCTGCCGCACATTTCCGATTTGCTGCCGCTATCTTATCGGGGCGCATTCTGCTTTAGTTAGTTTATGAGACCCAAGCCAATATTTTATGTGTAAATATCACAACGCCGAAGCGCACGTCGCGGTTGGTGTTGTTCTTGTTGTTGTTGTTGTTGTTTTCTGTTTTCTGTTTTCTGTTTTCCGTTTGGCAACCCAACAACAAGTACGAATACAAAAACGAAAGCAACAACAAAAATTAAGAGCAAAGCCGCAACGGCAGCGATCAGCGATCAGCGATCAGCTCTCAAGTTCCCCCCCATCCAATCGATTGCAGCATTTGCGGAATTACCAATTGTGTTTTTCATTTTTCATGTTCGTCTCGTATCGGATTGCTCTTTCTGCTGCCGCTTTACTGAATTTCAATTCAATTTCTGTATTTTCGCAACGGATTTCTTCATAATTGTGTGCCTCCCGCATGGGTGCAGTGGTTGTAGATAAATAAATATAAATGGGAGCATTTCTGGGAAATTAAATGACAAAACAGAAACAGAAACAGAAGCCCCACCTGAGAGACATCCGAGTGTGTGGGGGGACACAGCTGAGTGGGAGTGACATCTGAGCGGGGGGGGAGGAGTGAGGAGGGAGGCAGCGAGTGTCATTTTATGCGCTTTGTGTTTATAAGTGCTGGACTCGGCTTGCTCTTGGACTAATTACTCGTCGGATCTTGTGCTTACCCGAAACCGGTTCGCATAACGAACCCATCTACGGTCACACACACAGACGCGGCCACTGCCTAGCCATGCCGTCCAAAGGTCGCTGGCAGTCAGCTGTCGACGAACCGGCTGTCGACGTAACATATTTGCCAGATAAGCTTTTATCATTTACAGCTTTGCGTTTGCCGCCGTCGCCGCCGCCGCCGCCGCCGCATGAATGGAACAGAACTGCTGCTTGCTGGCAGCTGGCTGAGTGGGCGGTTTGCTCTCTAGAACGAAGAACGGGGAAACGGGGGAAGCAGTCTGCAGCAAGAAATTGCATGATCTGGCAGGAAATTAAATGTTCCATGGATTAATCTAAAGATCTATTAGATCTCGGATCAGCAGAGAGTGCAAATAAAAGACACAAATCACAATTAACTACTCAGAGACAAATTATTAGACCGCTTCCCATGAGTTCGCAGTAAACTTTCTTGTTTAATTCAAGCCTTTGTAGCTGCGAAACTCTTTAGCCAACTTTCGGGCGAACCTTAGAGTCTGAAGTTGAAGTGTTAAAGCTAAGAAATGGAAAGGCAGATATTTTTTGAAGAGCGTCAGGAGAAGCCCATGGATCAAATGGCGATCGTGGCATTCCAGAATTTGAGCAGAGTTGAACAAAGTTTCATGCACAAACGGTCTAGAACTTGTGACTCAACGGAAAGAAGAGATTTCCCTCTTCGTTGCGTTGGCTGGCAAATAAATCAAAAGAAATGAATTGAAATTGACGCGGACTTCGTGCTTGCTGCTCGGGTTGCGTGGAAATGCATGAAATTTAAGGTTTAATGAGTAAAGTTAATGGACAACCAAAAATTAGAATCAGGTTTTGGACTTTGCAAATATTCCTGCACGCAAGCTGCTTATGGGAGAGAGCTAACCTCCTACGAGTGTTGTGTGTGATGCGATCCCACTGGCAGCTTGTTGTTTGGGTTTGGTTTGAAGGCAGACAATCTGGTTGGAAATGTGCGGAAAATGAACAAACACACACACGGCATCACTCTGTGTGTGTGTGTGTGTGTGTGTGTGTGAATTGCTGCTCATTTGCCACATTTTGCTCGGCTATGGGATATGGCTTTTCCTTCCTGCCGACTGGCTTAATCAGACATCGTCAAGGACTCGACGCTGTTGCCGTTGCTGTTTGCCTTGCTGGCTCTGCTTTATGAGCTTAGTCCGTGTGCTTTACTACCCAATTAAGCTCGGAAATATATTTAGCAAACTAATGAATTATAAACACACAGACACCGGGGCAAAGAGAGAGGCAAGTGCGCGCGCGGAGTGCTGCAGTGTCTGTGTGTGTGTTTGTGGGTGACTATCTGATGCCCTCCTCCAATCCTACGTACTGCCACGGGATGTGTGTCCCACATTCCATCAGCGCATTCATTGTCAAAGGCCAAGCACGAGAGGGCGCATCGTCGTCTGGCTCAGATAGCATCCAGATTTTCTCTGCTTATTCTCTGCTGTTTTTTTTTGGCCCCCTCGGTTTTCCACATATCAAACATGCCCAGCCATACCCTCGCTCTTGCTCTCTCTCTCTTTTGCTGCAACGCTGCTGTATCCTTTTAAATGAAATTAAGCTAATTTGGGAAGCAGGCAACGCGTCAGCGTCGTGGAATGGATACCGCTGCCGCCACCGCCGCCGCCGTAAAGCTTAATTTCGTATAGAGAGAAAGAGCCACAAAGAGTGAGGCAGATGGGGATGGATGGGGTGGAGGAGTGCCGCACAGAGTTTCATGCATATGCATGCTGCGTGCCAAATCAAAGCCTGCCCCAAATGCCTGCCCGTCCGCCTCTTTTCTGTCTTCCTGTTGGCTATTTTGCGGCACATGCTACACGTCTGTCCCTGTTCTGCCGCACCTGTGTCCAGCTGTCTGTCCGTCCGTCCGTCCGTCCGTCCGTGTCTGTCCGTGTATTGTAATTTATTATCCTGCATGGCAAAAGGGATTTTCATCAATTAATCATGCTGATGATGGTGCTTGCTGCAGTTAGACAACAGCAACACCGTAGACCATCCTGCTCCTCCCTGCCTTGGGCCATAGTCTCCTGTGCCTGTTCCTGTCCCAGTCCCTGCCCCAGTTCGTTCGCATTTAAACAAAAGATTGAGACTTGAATTATGGACCACAAAACGGATAAATTAGTGCCAAATAAGCTGGGGCGATGAGGTCAGCGTGGAGGGGAGATCTACGGTCCGAGAGCCCGAGACGCCAGGTCCCGTGCTAGATCTAGTTCTCATCTTAAAGTGACTTTCCCTGCAGTTGGCCTTGGCCCTACTGACTCCTCTACCCTGGCTGATTTATGCACGTGGAGAGTGCTCCCACAGGACACAGGACACAGGACTCTCTGTGTGTGTGCATCAGCTTAAAGTGCATGATTGGCCAATTCATGGAAGATTTCATCATCAATTATTCAAAGCCGCACGACTGCTCTAAGTAAAAGTAAATTATTGGCTGGCAACAGCAGCAGCAGCCAGGCAGCCAGGCAGCAAAAACAAAGGTCAAGCCAATTTTTCGCCTGGTTTATTATGCAAAATTTAATTTTAATAAACAAATAGGGCAAATGAAGGTGCAGCGGCCGTCAGCCAGTCAGCCAGTCAGCCAGTCGGGCAATCCATCCATTAAACCAGTTGAGTCCTGGCTTCGGGGGGGTCAAGCTGCAATGCTGGAATGGAATTTGTTTTTGTGTCCTGATTGATTGATGGCTAGATTGATTGGCTGCCTGATGGCTGTGGCTGTGGCTATATCATTGTGCGTGTGTGTGGGCAGGAAATGTCCTTATTATTTCAATTTGGCAATTTCAATTAAGTGAAAATTAGTCCTCGTCCGCTGCAACTGCTTTGTGCAACATTTAAGGCGGAGGAGAAATCCCATAAGAAGCTTACGCTCTCGGGGGGGAGCGAGTCTGGAACCCTTGTGGGCTGCACTTTCGAGTCTCTTTTTGGGACACGAACATTTTGCCTGTACTTTCGAGTCTCTTCTTGGGGGAATTAGGCAATTTGAGAGCGCCTCCACATGGAGACATGATAAGTGGAAGCCCACCCTGGCTCTGGCAGTGCTTTGAACTGCTTGTTGGGCAAGGGGAGGCGCCTTCTTCATTGTTCACTCACCTGAGTGGAGTCTCTGCTCTTAAAGGCATTCCAGATCACAGAGCTGCCTGCCTGCAGGAGTCAGTCAGACATACAGTTATGCATACATCTCTCTCTCTCTCTCTCTCTCTGCTTTAGGAGTCAGGAATCGGAGGCAGTCTGGAGTCACTTCTTCCCAGACAGACGCTGGAATAATTCAACTCATTAAAGGAGACTCCTCATCATCTCTGGGATGGGGTTGACTGGCTGTTTGGGCTAGGGCTAATTCAGGCCATAAATTTCCACTCCTGTTGCTTGCTCCGACTCTCGAGGGTCGCTGCCACGCTGCCACGCTGCCACTGTGCCTCGTGCCGCTCTTTTGATATAATGTGACACCAGCTGCTTAATGTTTTGGTTAAAAGCATTTTAAGTGAAATGCAACAGGGCAAGCCTGCAAGCGACTTTCGCTGGCCGCAGAAAACAGAAACAGAAACAGAAACAGAAACAGAAAGAAAAACAGAACCTGGACCAGAAGGAGTTGCAGCAGCAGGAAAAGCAAGTGGAGCCAGGCTCCTGGCAATTTGCTTAAGCGAAAGGCTGTGCCACATATGAGGCAGTTGTAGCAGATACAAAAAACGTCAGACAATGTGG